GCAATTCTCTCAGGGTAATTGAAAAAATTGTAAGTTGTTATAATAGTATCTATGGTATGCCGTATCTGCGGAAATGCACAAGATTTTGAGACAGCTAAATTTAAAGAGTGTGCATCACAGTGTACATATAAAGCCAAGGAACATTTTTCCTGTTCGTATGCATGCACTCCATGCAAATCAGAGCTTATAACTGGTGCACCATCATAACCCTGGCCAACTAGGTAATCCAAACTAATTCCTTTGTCAATCAGGCAGGTTAAAATTGCTTCTGTCAATGCTTTTCCAGTGCAATTTTTCGTAGGTATTAAAGTTGAGAAATCTTCTCGTAACCGAACTTCAGATGATTGTATATCCAAGTATCAAACAGCTATTAAAAATTGCTCCACACCTACCACATTGGCGCTCTCATTGGCTAAGACCAAGATGGGTTGAGATGAATTAACTGCATCAACAATTTGTCGAGAAATAACTTTCTCACAGCACTCAACTAGTTAATTTCAAATCTCAGGGCTAATATATGTAGCATTTTTATCAGCAGCTGCTAAATGCGTTTTGAAATTCGAATTACCTTTAGCCCAATATCTTAAAATTACTCTGAATTTTCCATCATTAGCATGTGGTTTAATCTGATTTACGTCACCATAATCTCCGTTTCCTCACAATGCCAAATTCTGTTTTCCACGTAATATAATCGTTTCTGTAATGGGAGTAAGATTTTTCTTATTTTCGTAAATAACCTTTACATTTTATCGATCAAGTTGCAAATTAACCGGTAGAGAATTACCAATTCTAATATAGTGGTGACTTTGTAAACTCAATAATGCATTCATGGGATACTGTTTTATTTCATGATTTTTGTAGTCTTCAATACCATCTTTCTAATTTATGTGTGATTCTTAAATCAATTTTTGTAGACTGCGATATCCTGTGTCCTCTTGTTTCGTTCCAAAAAACGCATACATTACAAATTTCTCCGTTTTGTATTTTTGAGTAAGCTAACCATTCAAAGCGCTCAGGCCAAGAAAACTGAGATTTTAACAGACTCTTATTACGAAATGTTGAGACCGGAGAAACAAACTTATTGTCAGGTTCCGATAAACTGTCATATACTTTTGATATTTCATAATTGGAGGGTGAAGTTTTCAGATATTTAGATGTATCTGCATCGTCGAAGATTTTCTCACGACATTCTGTTAAATGTAGTAAAAAAAATCACAATAACAAAATTTAAAGAAAAAGAATTGTAAAGCCCAACATAATTCATTAATTTATATTTTACGTACCTCCATTAACATAAATCGAATTTTAAATTGATTTTAGACTCTCAGGCTTAGAAATCTCAGCATTAGTATTAATCCTAACAGTTGGACTGGCTAACGTCTGACTCGACTCAAAAAGCTTGTTTTTGTTACTAAGCTCACTTTTAGCACTTCCTCCATTTTCAATAATCTTTTTATGTTTAGTAAATCTTGGTCTTTTTATCAACTATTTTTCCAGTTTGCATTAAAATATGCAACCTAGAAATTTTTTTTTTTTAAACTGTTGTAACAGACTACGAGCAGATCTTTTTTGAGATTCGAGACTGGTCAGACTGAGTAACCTGGCTCGGCGATCTAAGCTCACATTTGACAAGAGAATGTATCACGCAGAGAAGTTGAAGCCTGTACGAGAAAAAAAGCGATGTACGCTACATAAGCGAATCTACCTATATAGATAGATAAACATATATACGTACACACACAAGATTTTTACACAAGGCTGTGCGTGCAGCGTTCACGCTCTTGATGTTTAAGAATCAAATATATAACTATGAGTATAAGTATAGGTATCACTTTTCCTTTCACAGAATTTATTTTTATATAATTTATACTTTCCCTTTCACACAATTTATGGGAGATGCAGAGCTGCAGTGCATCCCAATAAATACATGACTGATCAGGCTATCGCGAAGTGGACGGTGTTACATGCATTGGTCATGCTGCCTGAAATGTGTATGATGTATGATATTGACTACTTCACTGCATGCACAACTACAAACTACACTACTACAGTGTGTATACTGTTTCTCTCATGACAGTCATGACACTCAAGACTCATAATTTTTTAAGCTACGCTATCACGGAGATCATACACCAATAGAAAGACAAATATATTATTTAAACTATATCTTAAGAAAAAGCTTGGGTTCTTATGCTATCCATAAACGACACTAATACATTAGCAACACTTGAGTGTATGAAAACTATTGATATCATTGCTGCTACAGTGCTACGCTACTAGCAAGAGGACGAGCAGCAGTGACGGCTGTGTAGGCGTCTAGGTATAGCTGAGCGGTTAGCACCAAGCGGTAGTGGCAGAGGCGGACTGACGGTATACTGCACCGGGCAAAGATACCAAAAAGTACAATAGGTCGAGGAACAATGTGGCAAATGACCGCCATTTGTAGCACACGCTTAATTGCAGTGTATATTTATAAAAGATTTTATATATCGGTGATTTTGCTGTGACTTGCTTACATCGTGTCCGGTACTCATACTCACGTGCTGAAATTAAATCCAAAGCCTTAAAAACGTCAAATTGTGTTAAATATTGTCGACTTTACTTGACCTATTATCATATACCAATATATTGATCCCTTCATTCAGATAACTGATCACTCAGAGTCAAACTTTCTATTCCGACCTATGTCCTTAACTTAATTTCACTCATGAAAGCTATCACCAGTAAATAATAAGGCTTATATGCCACTTGGGCGTGTAAGCATTATGTACTCTAGCTATTGCTAATAAGATTTGTACCGTAGTCCCACCAAAATCGTCAAAGACGAGTGAGTTTTCAGTGCATACATTTTGTCCACATATTCTCACCATAATCGCTGTTTTAACAAAAATCAGTTCAAACTAGTACTTTTTTGGATTGGAAATGCTAATCCATGGTCATTTATTAAAGTATGAGACTAAAATGAATAAACCCTTAGGACAGTAATACCTGAAATTGTTACCTCTCGAACAGCCCAGCTCTTTTTTTTGTGTATTTCGCGCGTACAAACATTTGATTCCGTTTCAACTCCCATGGAATAACCACTCAGTGTACGTGTGCAGGTACGCAAACTACAGTTTCTTATTGCATTTAAGTCTAGTAAATAAATTATAAGTGGACAAGTCATTGTAATACGTCTATGAGTCGCCTGAGCACTACTAACTTTGAAAATTCCATTCTGAACTTTTTTATTCTAACTTTACCTCACCTCAAAGTGACGTTTTTTTTGTTTTAGAGCAATCAATCCTAGCCAAACTTTTTTTTATTACTGTTGCACTAAAAAACGAGATAAATATCTCGGGGTTTTGTCCAATTGGCCCTTTTTCGCTACATAAATGCAAAAACGGTGGCTCTGCTTTCAACATTGGTAGCCAAGTGGTTCACTCCATTGGGTGGCTTTATCTGGGCTCAAATAAAAGTAAAAACATAGTCCTCATGATTAAAACAAAAATTTCTGAATTTTATGCCCCGAATGAAAAGTTGTAGTGATTTTATAAAAAATACTGAATTTCAGCCAAAATCACATTATTAGCGATGTTTACGCTCTAATTGAAACAGCTGTAACTTTCTAATGGAGGCACAAAATCGAACAAATTTTTTTTTTAATTAATAGGTCTTGATCCCAACTTTTATTTTAGCTCAGTAAGAATACTTGAACTGTTGAAGGAGCTACACCTGCTAGAAAGTGATACAATTTTTCAAAAATCTACGAAAACTTACTTATATAAAATTTCGTAAAACTTTTAACCAGCAAATTTTATAATTGCATCACTTTAGATGTTTGTTAATAATGTTGTTTACAGTAGAAATACCATGAAAAAAAATTTTTCTAACCACCTTTTTTATAAAATATTTTTCAAGTCGCTCTGAGCAAGTTACGGCAGAATCACCCATTTACATATGGCAATGTGTACATTTCTCATGGAATGTGCTATTAATGGCAAAGCTAATCAGCACTGCGTGACCCCATCCACTGTACTGTCCCTCAACTCACTGTCCCAAAAAGGACACTTGCGTGACGCAAAAATTTAAGACCTTTAAATTCCTAAATATTTAATCCCAAAAAACCCGGGAAGCCAACTATTCAAAAGTTTAAACAATAAATAATCCCTTAAAAATAAATTCCAAATAACCTGGGGCACCTTTTCTATTTCTGTAAAAAAAATAAAATAATAAACAGTTGACATTACTGGAGTAGGCACCCCGGGTTATTAAGTAAGACAAACTATAAAAGCGTATCACAGTCCCCTAACCTTCAACTTTTGATCAAATTACTTTTTCTTTAAGTTTATTTATTATACGTACTTCTGTAATTTTGTTTTTATTGTTCAAACTTTTTAGTAATATTTTTAATAATTTAACCCTGAAAAGGACATAAAGGAGCTGTTAAAATGTTGGCATGGATAATATATCTACTTGAATAAAGTCATGCCAAAGTTAGCAAATACTAATTCTCTAAGTTAATCAATATAGTGACGAATGAGCAAGTATTTGAAAAAGATTTATATAATTATAGTTAATGCTGTTCTTCAGACGATTTACAAATCATCATCTGTTCGAATCCAAGTAACAATATTTTAATTAGGACTTCTGAATTTTCTTTTTTTTGACAATTTTTTCTTTCACAAAACCTTGTATAAAGTACCTATAAGTAATTCAAACCTTAAAGAACGTTCAATTTATGTTATTAAACCATTTTATATAAATATACATGGTTTCTTCAATAAATGTTTGAAGTCCTCGTTTGTACGATTCGTATCTTTAAAAACTACTGTACATGATAACTTTATGCCTGCTGTTAAAAATGAGATCTCTTTTTATGGTGAAAGATAAATACGTACGATTCATACTGGTTGCATCTTGGATTGTTATAGAACCATCACTAGTTTAATTTTAATTGTAATATACCGTTGTTAAAATTTTTGATTTATTCAATTAATGTACTAATTTTTTGTTTTTAGGGATCGTGTGTTCAAACTGAATTTGAGTAATATTAGTCACTCAAATTGTGAGGTAAGAAAATCATTTAGTAAATTTTTTTTTGTAAATAAGTTATAATTTACCTCTATTTCTTATGAATAAAGTAGTAAATAAAAGAAGTTTTTCATTTTTTGCGTGATTTCACAATTTTCTTATTTCATAGTTGTTATTAGTAAGAAATAGCTTATCTTTTTTTTCTTAATTATATCAGAAATTGTAGTTTAAGTAAAATACGATAGCACTGTTACAACTTTTATTCATAGTTACAATTTTCATTAAACTTACTTCTCACCAATTAACCTAATAAGTACAGACTTTTAATTCTCATTCTCTTTTTATTTTCTTTTATTTTAAGTTGGTACCAATAACTCAAGATCTCGTAAGACTTTGTTTTCTACTGCGGGCAGTAGTATTTCCCAATTATTAGAACATATAACAGCCTATCATATATTATATAAACCTAATATACCATGGGCACCGTGAAAATATCGTCTGTTAAGTTGCCAGATTAGCTAGAACCTTGTGTACCAATGGTGCGTTGGATCCATTCATTACTGTGTAGCCTTAACCCAAAAAAACTACATATTTTATGGCGTCCACTCCTCGCCAGCTACGTTGGCACTCTCTGCCAAAGCATCAGATCCAGGCTAGTTACCATCCCCGTTGAAGCCTCATATTTCAGGGACTTCTGTTTTGTCTGCACTTAGGCTCAAAAACTTCAGGGACAAAAAAAATTCTGGAATTACCCTGAAACAAAATTCCACGTAAAATTCCGCTCCAAAACTGCCGGATTTAATACGAACTTTTTTCAATAAAAGTGGTCGTAAAAATATCTACATTGACCGAAAATAGAACCCACGATCCCTAGGATGACATCTTAATAGTATCAAACACGCTATTACTAAGCTAATACTGTTTCTAAGAAACTTTATGAGGTGCCAGATGCATCGTCACCGTGCTATTTAATGATACAAATTTTAATTTTTCAAACGTAGATATTTTTTTGTAGTATAAATTTTTGAAGTTATACTTCTATAGACGCCCTCTGCGCTACAGAATGAATCAATGATTTCAGATTAGTCACCTTGAGAAAATTTTAAATGAAAGTAAATACATCATTTTATTTCCCCCTTACCCCGTCACGCAGCACCTAACTAAACCTGTCTCTTCTACATAATACTATACCCTCTACACCTCTATGCACCACACCTCGTCTTATCATCCTGGGCCAGTCCCCTTTCCTCTACACCACACCACACTACACCACACATTTTGAATGTTATTCATTCTTTTTACTCTTATCCTATAACCAGTGATTAAAAATAGAAAAAAATGTTTCTTTCAAAGTTGGAACACCCGACATTTTCTAAAGGAGCCGAGTACGTAACCCATTTTATTACAAAAGGTTCTAACGTAAGAAAAATGATTTTTTCTCCTCAGTGTGTGGCTAATAACTTTTTACTTTACATATTTATTTGCTGATAATAGATAAATTTACTTTATTAATGTAGTATAGCAACTTACATATTGTTAATTTAATCACCTGACTGTTATATATAAATAAATAATTTTTTAAGAACTTGAAAACAATATTTCTTATCAAAAACTTTTATAGATATTAATAAATATTTAATCAATTTTTCTTAGTTCTTAATTTAAACGTACATTAACTGTTACTAACTCATTTAGTTTACAATCACTGCTTATCTATACATTATCATTACGTTTATGACACATTATATTAACAAGATGATAGTCATTGCAGGTAGGCAGTTGTTTGAAAATATTTGAAAAATTCGTTAAAAGCGAATACTCTCGTGATGGCCTGGCAGCACGTTACACCATGGTTATACTTTGTACTTTTTCTTGTTAACGTTATATATCCTGTAAAAACTTATTTTTAAAATAAGAACGTGTAAACTTATATTTTGTTTTCGATCATTATTAATTTAAAAAGAAAGGAAAAGAAAACGTGTAAGAGGTTCGAGTCTTCAGAAAGAAGGAAAGAGAGAGCTGATTCTACTTGACAACGTAGTCACTTTGTTAATTTGCCTGGTAACCATGTGATTTGCTATATAAAACAATTGCTGATATACCTTCCTGTCCGGAAAAGAGCTATTACCCTCCTTGCCCCAGCGCTCTTTTCATTTTTGAACAGGAAAATGTGGCCCCGGACATTCCAATCGAAAGCCATGCACGTGGCTTTTCGAAACGTCAACTTTACGATTTGCGGGCGCGGTTGATACAAACAATCGATAACATATAGTATTGTGAAATTAAGTTACTTTATTTTTCTCTTTCATTCTTACATTCTTTACATTTCTCCAACTAGTACAAAACATTATTTTGTAGTCAAGCATATTTGACAAGTTCTCTTGCCAGTAGTCGATCAAAAAGTAGTTTCTAAAGAATTCGTTAAGCTGTTTGTTTGCATAAATCTCTTCTCGTCAATTGACACTGGGACTCGTGGAAATCAAATATAAGTCTTTCAGTTAGGCTTTTTTACAATCTTTGAGTTAATTATTTAATCCATAGATCCTTCATCCAATAAGGCGTCAGACTAAATTAAAGATTCGTTATTCAGTAAAAGAAAGGGTACTGCTTTAAATAAAACACTTGTAAAACTTCTGCTTTAGTCTCAATTTTAATATTGAAATTAGTATTATCCTCAAACGGAGTGTGCAAAAGATCGTGATGCTTAATATAACATTTTCCACACGATCGCTCGGTAAACCTGTCTCTCACATAATTCTTGTCTAAACAGTGAAAGCACAGCTTCTTTGTTTTTACAGTCTTCTAACGTTAAGAAATTGAAGATCTCGCAAAATCTCTACATTTAATAATAACTTCGTTTTTGCGACCACAATAGAAGCATTCCTTTTACTCGTTACGACCATTTTTTACATCTTCTTCAACATTAAGGTTCAAAACTACTCTTTTGCTACCGTGAGACGTTCGAGAATTACGTTCAGACGGTGACGTAATTGCTTCGTTTAAATCTACAGCAATTACATCAGCTTTGATGTTTAATTCGGCCTTATGAAAAAAAAATCAGATGTTTTTTCTAAATCGGGTTTTGATGAGTTCTCATTAGCAGAAGATCTCACATAATTGTATATCGTTAAATTGGGCAACTTTTGATAAAATTGATTTACAAGCTCTGGACTAAAAAATTACCTATTTTTCCATCAATTGAATTTATCGCAATTACGAAATCTTTCAGATCAGTCGCAAAATCTACCAAGGGACCCCGCACGAACGCTATGGATTATGGGTCCCAATGAAATCTTTTGAAATTTTGATATGTTGTGGCTCGTTATGTACTAAGCAAATGTTGTCATAGGTTCAAGTCGTAATAATAGACAGATTTTGAGTAATTAAATATTTGAGTTGTCAATTTTAGTTACGGTTAGTTTGACATAAGACGGTGTACAGTCAACATACGCGTCTGATTCCATATACAGACAGATGAAATACAAGGGTTATGTCGTACGCGTGCACTACCCATGACTGTGATAAAGCATACATTAAATTGATATCAAAGAATAAGCATGCTTAACTAAATGATTTATTATTGTGTTTAAATAATGGTAGTCGCTGTTGTATTGTTGTAACTTTGCATGGGGTGCTACATGATTCTTTCAAAAAAGACAAACTGTAACGACTGCAGAGATAAGTTATCAATGTTTAATTCTAAAGGTATGTTTTAAGTACAAAAAAATTCTAATAATATTTTTTTTATGATATTTTCAGTAATTCGGTTATTTTAAGTACTTATTGAATAACTACAAGCTCCATTGTTCCTTAATGATATTATTCTACCTCTGTAATTTTTGAGTGCTTACTGTGCCCATGGTACTCAGTATTTCATAGGCCATATGCGCATCTACCAAAAGTGATCAGAATGATCCCATTCTTGAGACATTCACCTTATAAAATATTTTATGCCCTTAATAACGTATACTAATGGTAATACTTATTAACGAAAAAAATTTTTTATTGATCATCTTAAAGTAAAGTCTGCTGATTTTTTTTGGTTTGTGTCATTTTTAGGAGCCTACTGTATCTTTTCAGAGTCAATATCCTTAACCTGTATCCACGCTTCTCCTTGACTGCTTCATCCACGTCCCAGTGCCAGATTCTTTCTACCGAAAACGTGAAGAATGCATGGTGGTGCCGTTTATTTTAAGATGCTTCTGTATATTTTTTAATATCTGTTTTTAGCCATACGTTTGGAATCCACTTTAAGATCGGTTTCAAGATCAATTCTGATTTACGATTCGAAACTTCTGACATCTGCTCTAATGCTTCTTATGTTATCTTGTTTATACTTTTGAGTTTGGTTTCAAATATATTTTTATTCATTTATTTATTATAATCTACTTGATTAATACTTCTTGATTGATTTTTTAAAGGTACTTTGTGATATGCACCATGGCCTGTTTCATAGTCTGTATACACACATGCTTTAAAATCTGCTTTTCATCTGTTTTAATGTTTGATTCAGAACCCATTTAAAACTACAAAATTTTTCATTGTTTTTAATACTCATTATAAAATGCCTTTGACACACATTTTAGTTATATTTTAATAAATTGCTCATACTTATTTTGAGACCTATTTATAAATGTATTTTGAGACTTACTTCTGTATTTAATGTTTTATTTTTAAATAAAATCAATACATCATAAGTTTTCTCGAACTATAGAACTATAGAACCAACTTACCATAGTTCACATACTGTCGATCATTGCAGGCACCAACAGAAGTCTTTTCTAATGTTCTCTTTCTGATACCGCTTAAAGTCCTATTCCAAGCCCTAAACCAAGTAGCAGTTAAAGTCCTTGAGTCCCTACTGGATCCTTCACAGCAGTTATCGATTTGACGATGCATCGAATCAGATAAGTACAGTTACTCATGACTTAAATAATAATTAAAGTAGAGATGTGTTACTTTGATTTAATATTTTTATTAGACAAATCAGTTCTTGCTTCATCTTCTGTACTTAACAAGTTTTGATAAAGAGCCACCAC